AAGGCTAGAAGTATTAACAATATCATCATTTCCAATCCTGAGATACACGTTCCAATGCAGTACCTATTTTCCATAAATGGTTTTGGTAAGAGGAATGTTATAAATGTGGATACATTTCCACTATTCCTCCTCCATGCCACGATATAGGGTTATTAGCTTGAGCCGTTATAAATCCATTGTTAGGCATCTTTCTGAAGGTTCTGCTTACCTCTCACTGCCTGCAGGCACGGCTGGGCAGAGTTCTTTTGCTTGGGCACAATCCTGGCTCAGATGCAATCAAAGTTCTATTCCTGAGGAACGAGAGGAATAGATTTAAGGTAGAAACTAGCAATCTCCACCCCAATTTCTAAAGTTGTGAGAGGACAGGTTGAATTTGGGGAGAGTAAGGGGAACCAAAGTGAAAAACCTCACCTTGGCCTTGAATATGGAACCTGAACATCAAGTGGAGAGTTAAAAGACATGAAGCTACAAAAAGGCCTCATGTAACATAAAGCACTAGTCTTAGGAAAGGTGGTGATTGTTACTGTTAATACTATGTCAGGCTGTTAAAACAAATACTCTTACTGCATTAGTACTAAGAGACGGAGACTAGCATTAACTAGAATAGATTGTGGCGAGGCTCCACTGCTCAAGCTGTGTAACAGATATCTGTAGGAGCAGAGCTCTGCTTGCCTGCTGCCACGTGCCTGGTGCCTGGCTCTGTAAAACTCCTGGGTCTCACGAAGGCCCCAGACAGTCAGGCAAACAAACCAAACACCACGGGGGAGCAGAGGTCTAAACAACCAGGATGAGAGGAAGGGCCTCCAGAGCAGAAAGTGAGTTTTGGATCTCCGCAGGCTAAAATAACCTGTAGACTGAGTCAATCAACCAACATGCTGGTTAAGCCGGTGAGGGAGAAACCAAAACCCCAGCCAGATCTATTACTTAGCAGTTTGTCACGAAGCAAAAATAAAAATTAGCCTCTTTCCCCAACCCCAACCACAGAGTTGTTTGGGGTCAGAGGTGGCTTTAGGTCAATCTAGGCCAAGTCAAACGCTATGAATTGTTTCTCCCTAGAGCAGCCAGGAGCGTGGCTACAAGGTGGTCTCCCAGTGTCCAGAGAGGGGCAGCCTTTTCTCCCCAAGACCCTCAGACCCCAGGCGGAGTGACCCAAAAGGAGTTTGTGCAAATAGCCCCTCAAGGGCTGGGAGTAGTAGGAGGGCTTAGTGGTAGCCCAGGTGTGCAATTGAAGGATTTTTTTTTTACATATTTTTATTGATTTGCATACAGTCACTCATATTCATTGTGTTTTATGTATGTACATTGTGTTTTATAAAGCCTTTCATTTACATTGTATTTCATTCATGCATATTGTGGGGGTATTTTTTCCCCTTAATATCTAACCACATTCATGAAAGTATTCAAGCCAGCTACTTCATGCCTTGTGCTTTACTAGTCCCATTTTAGATAGCTAGTTTCTGATTCATCCATCCCTGTCAAACCAGTACTCTGAAAGAATAAGCATGTCCCTTTTGCTGAAGAATCTTCTGTTGAGTTTGGAAACTTTGAGCATCTGCATCCACAAAGTCCAAGCCAGAGAAAGCCATCAGGTTGCAGCAATCAACCCTAGCTCATAGCATAGATCTTCTTCCCTGCACTTTAAGAATTTTTGTGTTTGCGTACAAGCCTAATGAGATGATGGATTTCTGCTTCCAGGGTCTCAATTTGGAGACCGGGGCCTCTTCCTGGTGTTCAAGTATAGCCTGTTCTCCTCTAGATCCATGGTAATGTGAGCCGTGGAAAGTCTATCTGTTAGAACTCAAAACCAAATTCGTTACAGTTTATGGAAGCTTTAGGGGCACAAAGAAGTGGTAGAAAATTATGTCTAGCTTTATAACCTCTTTGGCTTGGCACAGATAAACATATATAAATTGGGCTTAAAAAAAAAGACCTCTATAGCTTTACTTCCTAGTTCATCATTTCCTTCATTTAAGACTTGAACTATAGTTAACAGTTAAGAAAAATGTAATGCCAGTTTCACTTAAGAATGTAATTCCCACCAGATGCTCTACTGGAGAAGGAGGAACAATCTCCTCCTGTACCAGTCAGATCTGATTTGACGGTACACACACAAAATAATAAAAAAATTTTTTTTAAAAAGAATGTAATTGATGAAAAAATAAAATTTATTTTATTAAAACTTGAAAAAAGATGAACTAGAATTTGGTGTGTGTGCGTGTGTGTATGTGTGTGTGTGTGTGTGTGTGTGTGTGTTTTAAATGTATCATTAAAGCAAGCATACATACAGGAAAAAAATCACACATCATAAGCATGAAAGAATGTAGACCTTTTTTCTCAAAGAGAATACACCTGCCTACGTGACAACACCTAGCTCAAGAAAGAGAACACTGTCGGGCTCTGGGAGTCCTCCATACTCCTCCCTCTAAGTGCTCCTGAGAGTAACCCTAGCCTGACTAAGAGTACCATACATAAGTTTTGCCTGTTTGTGAACTTTATGTAAATGGAATCATACAGGAAGCCTTCTTTGATATCTGGCTTATCTTACTCAACATCATGTCTGTGAGATTATCCACATTGTTGTATAGGGTTGTGTTTGGTCTCAAGGCTGCCCACTATTTCATTTCATTCCATATGGCACTTTGTCCATGCATGGTAGGTGGACCATAGGTTCTGACTGGGAGTAGTCCCAGAAGTGCTGCTATGAACTAACGTGCTTTTCAACAATCATGTCCCATAGATTTTTACCAAAGACTTACTATTTGTTAGGAATTGAGAAAGGAAGAATATCGATGAATGAGTGGGGGTTATTATACCCATGACCACTGAGGAAAACAAGATTCAAAGAAGTCAAGGAACTCCCTGAGGGTCAGATGGCTGGTCTAATTGCCTGTTCCTGATCTGTGCCCCAAGTCCAGTGTTGTCATTGTTGCTATGTGCTGTCAAGTTGCTTGCAACTCACAGCAACCCTATGTACCTTGAAACCCTAAGCAACCTTGAAACCTGCTTTATTCTGTGCCAACCGTATTACTGTCTCTGACACACCTACTCTCATTACCCCAGTCACTGAATCAATCCATCTCATTGAAAGCCTTCCCCTCTTATGCTAGCCCTCCACCCTTCCAAGTATGATGTCCTTTTCTAAGGACTGGTGCCTCCTTGCAACTCACCTGCCCAAAGTATGCCAGATGAAGTTTCAGAATCCTTGCCTCCAAGGAGCAGCCTGGCATCACCCTCCAGGATGAACCTGTTTATTCTATTAGCAGTCCATGGTATATTCAGTACTCATCTTCAGCACCACAACTCAAAGGCATCAATTCTCTTTCTCTCATCCCTAATCATTGTCCAGCTTTCTGATACATAGCAAGCAATTGCAAAGACTAAGACCTGGATGAGGCACACCTTAGTCCCCAGACTGATGTCATTGCTCTTCAGTACTCTGGAGATATCCCTGACAGCTGACTTTCCCAATGCAATTTGTCTTTTTATTTCCTGGCTGCTGGTACCAAGAGTGTTGATTGTGGAGACAAGCAAGCTAAAGCTCTTAATAATCTGAGTCTCTTCACCATCTATCATGTGCTGCCAATCAGCCCAGGGGTGAGACTCTTTCCACCACTTCTGTTTTGCAACTCTTCTGGCCTCAGAGGAAATGAGATGATTTGACAATTTGGATTTGTGGCATAGTCCTTGCTTTAGTTCCAGGTAGAAAATCTTTCCCATGGAGTCACTAAACCCCAACTTTGGGATTTCTGAAAGTATTTTTCTCCTTCTTGGAGAGTAACCCAGGACAAAGGAACAAGAGAGACTCCTTAGCTCCTCAACACAACCCTTAAACTTAGTGCGCTAGATTTATTTTGGTGTGTTGTAGGGTTTTTTATGCTTCGTTTTGTTTTCATCTGCAGGTTTCTTTCTACCTCTAACCTCCCGCCTGCATCAGACTCTTAAGTAGTCCAGGAATCACAGATACATTTCCTTTTTTAAAAAAAATTACGCTACTTTTAATACTTTGGGTTGAGCCTCACAGGAATAAAAAACACTGGGAAGGGGTAACCCCCTCATCCCCAGGTGTGGCCCAGAGGGAAAAGGGCTACCTGAGGGGAAGGAAGCACAAAAAGGCCTCACTGCAGACTCAGGGCAAAGGGAATGCCATCAGTGCTGAGACCTGTGAGCACCACAGGAGGAAACCTGGCTCCAGACATGCAGGCAAAGGGCAAGAGGGTGGGACACGAAGCCACAAAGCTAGTTGGGTTTCTCCTTCTTCTCATTTGCCTTTTTCTGCTTCTGCTGCATGATCTCCGAGTCCCTCTGCTTGTGGACAGCGGTGGAAAGGCCGTCATCTTGGTGCTTTCCCTTAATGGAGTCACTCTCCTTTTTCATATTCTTCTGGAGAGCGAGCAAGCTCAGGTCATGGCGACGGCATCTACTCCCGGATACATTTCTAAGTAAATCTTTTGGTATAAAGAGCAGCATACTTGTTGAATTGCTATTGAGGGTACATGGAAGTTTTCCTGAAGTGTTCTCTTTCTCTGACTTGCCACTGTAATGTTTGGTACAAAACAACCACCGTGTGTTGGGCTGACTGTGGCTTTGTTGTGAGAAGCAGCCAAGTACAGGTCTGATACAGTCTGTGCCCTAAGGGCTGAGGAGTCAGTACTCAAGCAGCTAGAAGTAGAATAACCAGACCACCAGGCAGGGATTTTAAGGGTATAGGGAATGTCCAGTCCTGAGAGGAGGAAGTTGCTTCCAGGAGGTGCTCAGTGGTGACTTCTCAGTGTCTGCAGGAAGGTCTTGTCATCCATGATACAAATGTTCCTTGTTTGCTTACAATATGTTGAGTACATACTGTGGACTGCCAGGAGAACAAATAGGTCTGTTCTGGAGAAGGTGAAATCAAGCTGCTCCTTGGAGGCAAGGATTTTGAGGCTCCATCTCACATACTTTGGGCACATGGCCAGGAGGGCCCAGTCCTTGGAGAAGGACATCATGCTTGGAACCATCGAGGCACAGCACAGGATAGGAAGACCTCAGATGAGACGGACAGACTCAGTGACTGGAGAAATAGGATTAGGTCTGTCGGAGATGATGAGAGCAAGTCAGGATAGGGAAGGTTTCAGAACTAGTGTACATAGGGTCGCTGTGAGTCACAGGTGACTTGATGGCACATAACAACATGCTGGGGAGAGGAAGAGAGACAAGTTGTCTGCAAGGCTCTTAGAAAAAGATAATAGAACTGCGGTCCATGGGGTTTTTAAGGCTGACCTTAAAAGAAGTCACTAGACTTCTTCCGAGGTGTCTCCGGGAAGGCTTGGACCCATGTAGGCAAATACTCTCTGTAACTCAACAGGGGCTCTGAGCCTCCATGGAGTTTTAAGAAAGTCAGGGACTATGGAGTGATAGAGGTTGGAGCAGGGACACCCAACCCCCTCAAACTACACGATCCCTGGTGTCAGGGCCTCACTTGCCTTTCAGGAGCCAATAATTTGTGTTTACACAAGCCTCCACACCACATACCCACACTGGAAAACCCAACACCATTGTCTGGGCCACTGGCGTCTGCTTCCTCAAGGTGAGGGATTCACCACACGGAGGACAAGGTGCAACAGTGAGCTGGCCACAGGCGCCTGGGCCAGTAGTGCTGCCTGTGACTCACCACAGAGCTTACACCTCCTCCACCTGGCCCTTGGCCCCAGGGGCGCTGGGATGTGAGCTGAGCAGGGAAACTGGCTGCTTCCTCCCTAGTTTGAATCTGTCAGTTAATTAAAAAAATTTTTTTATACCCACACATTTTTATCACGTCATATATACTCTCAAAGCAAAATCTTTTAGGGTGTTTTTTTCCCACCTCTTTCCTTTTTTGTCTCCTGTTTCCAATCTCAATCTCATTCTCATGTCCCAAATGTTAAGAAACACCCAATAACAAAACAAATAATATTACTGCTATTGATTGACCCTGTAAAACAGAAGATTAGCCAGGTGGTAAACCTTTATGGAAATAGATTGCGGGACATCTCTCACAAGAGCCTCTGATGGCTTCACACTGGTAACTTTTTTGTTATTAGCTACGCAATTCTGAAAGATGCTATGGGCACAATCTTCAATGATCCAAGGAAGCATCAAAAGAAGATGGAAGGAATATACACAATCATTGTACCAAAAAGAATTGGTTAACACAGAAAAATTTCAGGAAGTACCATATGAATAAGAACCAATGGTGATTAAAGATGAAGTTCAAGCTGCACTGAAGACATTGGCAAAAAAAAATTTAAAAAGACCCCAGGGCTCAATGAAATACCAATTGACATGTTAGAACTAACAAATGCAGCCTGAACATGTTCACTAGTCTATGTCAGAAGATTTGGAGGGCAGCAACCTGGCTGACTGACTGGAAGGAATCCATATTTTTCCCCATTCCCAAGAAAGGTGATCCAGCAGAATGTGGAAACTATCAAACAATATCATTCATATCTTATGCATGCAAAATATCATTGAAGATCACTTAAAGGCAGCTAGAAAAGTACAGTGAGAGGGAGCTGCCAGAAATAAAAACTGGTTTTAGAAGAGGCTGCTGCACCAGGGATATCAGATGGATCCTGGCTAAAAGCAGAGAATACCAGAAGAATGTATTTTTGTATTTTATTGACTGTGCAAAATCATTTGACTACATGAATCAGAACAAATTATGGCTCACACTGAGAAGAATGGGAATCCTAGAACACTTAATTGTGTTCATATAGAATCTATATCTAGATCAAGAGGCTGTTGTGTCAAAAGAGCATGAGAACACTGCATGTTTAAGATTAGGAAGGGTGTCCATCAGGGGTGTATCCTTTCTCCATGCCTATTCAGTCTGTATGCTGAGTAAATAATTTGTGAAGCTGTACTCTACGAAGAGGAGTGTGGCATTAGGATTGGAGGAAAACTCATCAACAACTCGTGTTATGTTAATGACACAACTTTGCTTGCTAAAAGTGAGAAGGATATGAAACCCTCACTGCAGAAGATCAAGGACTACAGCCTTTGGTATGGATTACATCTGTACATCAAGAAGACAAAGATCCTTCCTACAGACCCAACAGTCAACATTATGATTGATGGAGAAAAGATTGAAGCTGTTAATGATTCTATCTTGCTTGGATCAACAATCAGCAACTAGGAAATAATTAAATGTATTGTTTGGGGCAAGTCTGCTGTCAGAGACCTCTCCAAAATACTGAAGAGCAGTGATATCAGTTTGAAGACCAAGGTACATCTGATTCAGGCCATGGTCTTTTCAATAATCTGCTATGCGTCAGAGAGCTGGACAATGAATAAGGATAACAGAAGAAGAATTGATGCCTTTGAGTTGTGGTGCTGATGAAGAGTACTGATACCCCATGGACTGTCAAAACAACAGGTATGACCTGGAAAGAGTGCACCAGAGAGTGCTCCTTGGAGGCAAGGATGACAAAGCTTCATTTTTCATGCTTTGAACACATAGCTAGCTAGATAAGGCTTTTCCTTGGAAAGCGACATCATGCTTGGAAAGACGGAGGGTCGGCAAAGGAGAGGAAGACCCCCAACAGGATGGATTGACACTGTGAGTTCAGCAGTGGGCTGTAGTGTCTCAGAGATGATGAAGATGTAACAGGATAGGGTAAGTTTCAAGTAGGCTCTTCATAAGGTCGCTATGAGTCATACTCAACTCGACAGCACCTAGCAATAGAAACAACAACAATCGCTTTAATTATTGCACCACCAGGGCTCCTTCCCAATTCTGGGTGGCCCATATTAAGCAATTAGAATGAGCCCTTCTTTGTTGTTTCCCCAAGTTCATATTTTTGTTGTTATTTCTGTTGAGTCACTTACGACTCATAATGATCATATGAATAGCCAACATGAACCCTGCCCTGCCCTGTGCCATCCTCATCAGCTGCGACACACTACAAACCCTTACTGTTGTCACTATGTCAGTCCACTTCCTTGAGGGGCTTCCTCTCCTTCGTTGACTCTTCATCTTTCCAAGCATGGTATATCCAGACTCCTATGTTTGTTGTTATTGGTAGGGGTTGTTGAATTGACTCAGCGCTCATAGCAACCCTATGAACAACAGATAAGAGCCTTGCCTTATCCTGCACAAGCCTCAAAGTATCTGCCATGCTTGAGCCTCTTTTTGTAGTCACTGTGTCAGTCTATCTTGATAAGGCTCTATATGTTTACATTACACACAAATGAATTTACATTGTACACAAAATACTGTTAGACATGGTTTTCTGTATCTATTTTTCATTCATTAATACCTCCTAGAAATTGCTATGGTTGATAGATGTCTTTAAAAATCAGCTACACAAAGAAATAAACTCATTTCAGGTATATATTGGATTAATTTTTTGATTGATATAAAATATTGCTGAAAGTAGTTAAAAAACAGCTGGAACAGTACATAGATAGAGAATTGCCAGAAGTTCAAGAGAGATTTAGAAGAGGCTATGGCACCAGAGATATCAGTGCTGATGTCAAATCCATCCTGGCTGAAAGTAAAGAATATCGCAAGAATGTCTATTTGTGCTTTATTGACTATGTAAAGGCATTTGACTGTGTGGATCATCACAAGTTGTGGCTGACATTGAGAAAAATGGGAATCCCAGAGCACTTGATTGTGCTCATGTGGAACCTACATCTGGATGGACCAGGAGGCTACTGTGCGAACAGAGCAAGAGGGTGCTGCATGGTTTGGAATTGGGAAGGAAGTGCATCAGGGTTGTATTCTATCTCCATACTAGCTCAATCTATATGTAGAGCAAATTATTTAAGAAGTTGGACTCTATGAAGAGGAATGTGGCATCAGGATTGGAGGGAAATTAACTCATCAATAACCTGTGTTATACAAATGACACAACCTTGCTGAAAGTGAGGAGGACTTAAAGCACTTGTTGCAGAAGATCAAGGAATGCAACCTTCGGTATAGACCGTGTCTCAATATCAAGAAAACAAAGATTCTTACTACTGGACCAATAGGCAGTGTCATGATGGATGGAGAGGAGGTTGAAACTGTCAACAGCTTCATCTTGCTTGGATCCACAATTAACACTGTTAGTATGAGCAGTCGGGAAATAAGGAGATGCATTGCACTGGGAAAATCTGCAGTTATGCACCTTTCCAAAATATTGGAGGACTAGTAATGTCAGTTTGAGGACTAAGGAGTGTCTGATTCAGGCCATGGTCTTTCTGATTACTAACTATGCATCTGAAACCTGGGCAGTGAATAAGAATGACAGGAAAAGAATTAATGCCTTTGAGCTGTGGTGTTGGAGAAGAGCTCTGAACATCCTGTGTATAGCCAAGAGAATGAATAGATATGTCTTGGAGAGGGTGCAGCTGGAGTACCCTTTGAAGGCAAG